TCGGAACGGGCACTTCCGGTTTTCTGGAACGGGCACTTCCGGAACATGCATTTCCAGTTGGAACGGGCACTTCTGGGAAACCAGAAGTGGTGCAGGAGCCCCCGTCGACCAGGTAAGTCCACCTGGCAACCCTAATCAATAGTAATATCTGCCAGGCTAGGTGTGTCTGCTCTTCTCCTCATATGGGAATCCCACCACTCTTTATAATCCCAAAATATTTGTTCTCCGGTGGTCCAGGAGTGGAGCAGGCCTTGACTCCTTACTCCTGGGAAAGCACCTCCCCCTTCCATAGGCAGGGCCGGCAAACTTTGATCCCAGAGGGGAGGGGCTTATCCTCTGATCCCCAGTCTTACCGGCCCTGCCTTCTGAGCAGGACATGCTGGCTGTGCTCTGAAGAGCACGAAGATCCCAGAAGACACCAGAAGGTCAGAAGAAGAAGCGGAGACCTAAAGGGCAATGGCAGAAGGTACTTACCTTCCAGCCCTAAAACATATTCGAGAGCTGCAGGCCTCGAATTACAATGGATCCGGTGCCGGCAGTCCTGGGAGGCCCCCAGGCAGTCGCGGCGCCGAGAGGAATGCCTCGGACCCCGCTGGGAAGGCGGCAGTAAACTGCTCTCCCCCTCCATCCAGCCGCGGCGGCGTGCAGCAGTTTTGGGGACAGATGCTCAGTGAAGAGCCTGGGGAGAGCAGAGGCAAGAGAGGAGGCTGAGGGTGGTGCAGAATCTCTGTCGCCGTCCCTTTCGGCATTGGAATGGAGCCCCCTCCTTGTTCCAGATCGTGGCGAGGAGGGACGTGTCTCCTGCGCAGTCTACCCGGTTGGCTGAAGCACGGTAGGACTGTATCCATTGAGAACTAGCAAGGTATGGAGGGCGAGAGAAAAAGAGGACTACCCCCCTCCTCCAGTTTTCTTTTCCCCGCCCTTTACTCCTTTCCTCTGGATCTGGATGGGAGGTTCTTTCAAAGGATGAATTGCTTCTGGTCCATGGGCCAGGTCTCTAGCAGGGACATTTTACAGTCTTTATTGCTGGGTGTGATGGAATTGAAAATCTGGGACCAGCAGAATGTTAAGATAGATCCGGGCTGAGTCACATGACCTATAGGGGAGGGGGCCTTTTGGCTGGAGCACTCCCTGAGTGACAGAAAACTGACCTAACTGACTGTTGGGGGTGGACAGTTGGAAGAGGGGGTTGGAAGAGGGAGTTGGAAGAGAGTGGATGCATAAGACCTGGGTGGTCACAAACACACAAAAACCCTGCTTGATAGGGATTCAAATAGGGGTTGAGGAAAGGCAAAAAGGGATCTGAAGTGAGGAGTCTGGAAGGCTGGTTGGGGGACCAGTTAGACTCAGGGGGGACCAGACCAATTAAAGCCAATAAGTTAACCACTGAAGGAGTGAACAACAGACAGCCTAAGACAAGGCAAAGTGATATAAATATTTCAACAAAGTATCTGAACATCCCATGTAAATATATCCCATCCCCCTGTAGCAACAATAAAACAACTGTGCCTTTTTGAATGTTATAGTATTGGTGCCTGACTTTCTGGGGAGCCATATACTGTGCAGTAGTCCTCAAGGAAGACAGCCTGAAATATACAAAACCCTAAGAGAATATTATACATTGGGTGTAGAGGTCTGGTCAAAAGCAATAAAATCAACTCTGACTAGGTCCTGACACGCAGACCCTCACATAACTGTCAGTATAAAGGGGTTCGTGTCATCCTGGGCCTTCGGGAAAGGGAGCAACAATAGACAGCCTACTTCTTCCCCACATGATTCAGCTGATGTGGGTGGGGTAGGACTCCATTTTGGGGATCTGTTAGGAGAGTGATGGTGGCTACTTTCACTTTCAGGTTCCCCTAAAATGGCTGAGAAGGCGGGAACATCTAGCTCCCAAGGCACAGAGAGTCTTAACCCTTCACAGACTACCAATATAGCCTCCCAAAATACTGAGCCCTCAGGAGAGGAAGCCCAGTCAAATTTCTCTCCTGGCTTAGAGAGGAAATGAGAAAGAATTCACTGGTCTAGGGCAACAGGGAGCTTCTTCCTAGGCTACTGTCCTCTCTGCTAAAAGAGACAGGAGCCCCAGTATAGAGGGCAGCCCTCCTCCTAGAAATACAGGCCTCCCAAGCATAGTGCCAGAAAAAAGGTGAACTATTAGAGCAGGAGAAAGAAAAGGGTGCCTGTCATTCAATCTAGACTCTTGCTCCTAATCTCTATAATAGAATATGGGCTAAGGTCATGAGGGCACTAGAGTTTACATACTCTCCAAAGATACAGGAAGACAAGGAGGTTCCTGGGTTCTTTCCTGTAGGCTCTGACAAAGCCATTCCCAAGTGTGCCGCTTCCTGTGGCATTATATAATATCATTACGGCAGTATGGGAACACCCAGCCTATCCAAAGTCTGGGAAACCCAGTGTTTAATAAACTCTGCTTTCTTATTCCAGGAGCCACAAAGAAGTTCAAACTTCCTATGGTGGATGATTCAATTAACTTATAAGTGTCTACTTCTCTGTTTCCCGTGGATGCTGATGGACTCCCAAAAAAGACAAGGGAGTTGCAAAGGCACTGCGTAGAGTTTTTTTGAGGCGCTTGCCATCTCCCTTAGAGTATCAGCTATGGGATCCCTGTTTGCTCAAGTGGCCTACCTGTGGGTCTCAGAGCTAACTTCTGTAGACAGTGACATACCAAAGAGCCTTAAAGATGAGCTAAAACAGATAGCTCTAGCCACAGCATTTGCGACAGAAGCCTCTTTGGATGCCATACAACTCACAGCGAGGGCTATGGCATGTCGTACAACGGCCAGGAGAAATACGTGGCTGGGACACCGGAATGCAGATCCAGCAACAAGGACCAAGGTGGCAGTGGTATCTCTCAAGGGAGTTAACCTTTGAAGAGCAGGCCTGGAATGTTACTTGGTGAAAGGCAAAGGCAAGTCATGGGTGCTACCGTCAAAGAAGAAGGATATGAATTCTAGAAGGAGACCACAGTCTTTTTGAGACCTCAGTCGTGATGATAAACAACAAATGGAAGATATAGGCGCAAGAGGATAGCTTTCTCTGGGCAGTGGCACCAGGCTGTGTCGGACAAGTGGTTCCTGGAGACGCTGGCTCATGGCTACGCACTAGAGTTCAAAAGAGTTCCAAGCAACGTTTCTTGGATATCTCATGGGAAAGATCACCAGGAAAAACACAAGATGATGTTACAGGCAATCTAACATCTGTTGGACACTGGAGTGATAGAGATGGTGCCGAGACAGAGAGTTCGCTAGGAATTTAGTCCATCCCTTTACGATCACCAAGAAGAATGGGAACACTAGGGGCATCTCGGACTTGAAGTGGCTCAACAAACATGTGCAATCACAAAAGTTCAAGATGGAAATGTTGAGGTCCATTTATTTATTTTTTCCCTCCATACATGCAGGGGACTTCATGGTCTCCATAGACCTGGCGGAAGCCTATCCGCACATCCTGACAAGGGATAATCACAGGAAATTTCTAAGGTTCACATATCACAGCAAACATTTCCAATATTGAGCCTCGCCCTCTGGACTCAAGTCCTCGCCTCAGATATTCTCCAAGGTCCTGGGGACACTAGTGGCCTTCCTAAGTCTGAGAGGAGTGGTCCTGTTTTCCTTACTTGGAAGACGTTTTGATCCAGGCAGAGTCCAGTCACCAGGTGAGCCTACACTTGGACTTTATAATCAAAGCATTTAGTGTTTAGTCATGCCGGCCACATGACCACGGAAACGTCTTCGGACAGCGCTGGCTCTTTGGCTTTGAAACGGAGATGAGCACCGCAACCCTAGAGTCGGATTCGACGGGCTTACGAGCAAGGGAACCTTTACCTTACTACAGGGACATGGTTGTGCTATTAACAGGGAGAAGAGGACCCTGGAGCCAACTCAAGTAATTACACACTTGGGAGTGTGGATAGACACAAGACAGGACAGGGTTCTTCTGTTCCAGGAGTGGTTAGTAAAATTTCTCACTTACCTTTCATCAGGTCCTGAACATTTAGACACTGGAGGTGATTACCCTAGCATGTCTCCTGGGCATGATGGTGTCGTGCAAAGATCTACTGCCGTGGCCTAGAGTTCATATGAGACCCCTGCAGCACTTTCTTTATTCACTACCAGAAGGAAATAGACTACAAGATAGTCAAGAAGGTAGAGTTACCACAGTCTGTGTGGACAGAGTTACAGTAGTGGCTAGTTCCGACTCTGTTCACAGAAGGGATACTTCTAAGTGAACCCCATGGGACACATGGTCAAGACACCTGGTCGAAGCCGGAAACATCCAAGAGCATCAACTTCCTGGAACTTGGGACCATCAAGTTGACCCTGGCTCACCATCAAAGTGGTACCTATGTATCTACTTGCTATTTCTTTCCGTCAAACTGCTAGGTTGGCAGGAGCTGGGGCCAGGGATGGGAGCTCACTCTATCATGAGGCACTTGGGTCTTGAACTGCTGAGTCTGCAGCTTCAATGCCTTTAACCTCTGAGACACTGTGGCCCACTTTGACCCTTTAGCTTCCCCCATAGCATCTGCAGTTAGTTACTGGTGCAGAACAAAACTATTCGGAATTTGAAGTTTACAAGGTTTAGTTGGCTACTGTACACAGCTGTCACATTGCAACATTGCCTCATTTTTCTTTACCATCATGTTTCATATTTCAGTACCATAACTCAATAGAGGAATGAAGGTTATTAAGTGTTTCTTTTGACTTTCTCTCAGTTTTTTGTTTCTAACTTGGAATGATATGCTAGACTGGGACCTATATGTACTATAGACTGGATGATACCAAGACCCCAGAACATGTGTATGATTTTACATGTGTGGCAGATGCTCTGCACATGACAGGCCTGACATGGGAAATGATCTGGGTAACAACACGGTCACTCAAGCTAATGGATACAAAACAAAAACAGAAGAGCCCAGTCTAAGTCATGCTTTCATTTATTCACTTCATATAAAAATCTCTTAAGAATGCATCTGAACACAATATATAATACTATAACAACATACATTGTGTGAAACTTCGAAACAATAAAATAACCACCTGGAACATTGCAGTATTCAACAGACATACAAACCCATTGATCATGCACAACTGTGCTATTTTCATCAACTAGTTAGTCACAAGTTGGACTGAAAGCTTGAAACATAGTTTTACAAACTGAGATTGGCACTGTATACATGCCTAACAAGCTTTGTTGGAAGAAGTTTCACAGCACAATTATAACATTGGTTCACATTTTGTCATAGAAATTCACATTGGGTTGTTCATAAACCAGAAAATGACACTTAATGTTTTGTGGCATAGACTAGGGTTTCTTTTTCAAAATTTCAGTAGTTTTGCCTCATCCAGACAGACCATTCTAAATCTTTTCCAATCACCACCAAGGATGATGATTTCCCTGATCATAATGAAAATGAAACCTCTATCAGCCAATGCCACCTGAATGCCCTCCCTGGGTCCATATGTCTCTTTGAAGCTATGTTCAGGTTTTTCTACTTTATTTAATACAAAAAGTTACAAGAAAGGGCAACTCTTATCCAGAGTCTTCTACACAAGTAACATCACCACTAACAGGCAATGTTAATTTATATAAATTAATACTTACAAAACATTACATTATATACATTAAGTAATAAATACACTGTTATAAACAGTAATGGGCATGTTTAGAGCTCAAGGCAAGTGCGGGAGGTAAAAAGGAAAAACTTAATCTAGAAAACTTGAACTGTGTTGGGGGTGGGGTAGTGGAAGAGAATACAAAGGACTGAGGATGCAACTTCCACGGTGTAAAGAAACCAATAAGGGGTGAATGCACGTCACATGACCTCAGTATGCTGGTTTTCACATGTGTCATATTGTGCTATCAGAACACAAAGCTACACAATCTCCTGTGCACAAAAAGTGAAAAAAAAAACAGTAGAATGAAAAAAAATACTGCTCTCCAGTAGTGAACAAACAGAAGAACCACACAGGTTTTCAGGACTTGATAATGTAACCAATGGTGCAGTAAACGCAAAGAGGAGGACTCCCTGCTTTATTTAGCTAGTCAAAGAGATTAAATTGCAATAAAGGAACAAGTATTGCCCATAAAAAGGAAGACCTCTTCTTTTAAAACAGGAATAATTTAAAAAAATATACATCAATATCAAACACGCTTCTTTGCGCATTTTGTAGGCTTCTTGAAAAGACATGAAAGTGTTTATAAAAAAGGCACACGGGTCTGCAGACGGGTGGACACATTTTAGATGCAGTGACTAGTCAGTAGTTTTAGCTGTCAGACTTAACTAGATTTCAGAATCTATTAAGAATACAAAATATTTAAGGTGTGTGTCATTTACTATCAGGCTTGTTCAGTAACAAATTCACACCGGCTTCAGACCATCACAATGTTTTGTGGGGTTTTTTGCTGACAAAGCTTAAGCTGCAATATAAATCACCTCTTAATTTCCTGAGCAGACACGACTTTCTCTTTGACCCTGACTCCAATCTCAAGTAGCTGGAAAGGTCTTTTAGCCAATAGCAGATGCTGGCCTTAGACCTAGACTGTAGGCTCGTCAGCATGACAACCTGCAGGTGCGTGAAGTATTTAAATCACCCAGAGAGACAGATACAGTACATTATGTGTCAACAGGCGATGTATCTTCTGTCACAATTTCTATGTTAGCTTCCCTTTGGGAATCTCTTTTTCCTGGATCAATCACACAGAGTGTCTTCGTACTGCTGAAATAGCTGATACCATCACTCTCTCTCTCAGGCCCATCAGAGTCCTCTTCTTCAAGGGTCAGCTCAAATTGGAACTTCTCCATAAGGCCCTGGCAGTCTCTGTTGTGTTCATCTAAGGGAGGAGAGGGGCTCTGAGGGATCATGCTCTGATACCAATTTCTGTTGTCTTCTAGAGTATCCAAGATGTCTTGGGCATCAGGTTGTACTAGGTCTGCCCATGTCTCCCAAAGGGGGTGGACAATGTAATCAATGAACCCAACCTGCAAAGCAACAACAGTAGAAAACTGTCACTTCAAACTTAAAGAGGTCACTGGATAAGGATGCCAACATTTGCTTCATGGAACTTTACAATATTGTAGATAACGGGTCTATTGAACAACAAGTAAGTCTTGTTACTCTGTTGTTGTAGAGGATCCAAATGTTCTACCAGGCTGTTATGGGAATGCACATTTTCTCATCAATAAACCACTGTAATCTCTGGTTCCCCCCTCCCAGAAAAATAATGATGCATTCATTGCAGTCTGGACTCTGGAGCATTGCTTATTCTATTTTTGCAAGTGGTATGAACACTTGTTAGCTAATACCTGTTGACAAGTTGATACACTCTTGCTCCTTGTCTCTGAACCATTTTGAGTACTTTCAAAAGATTTTAATCTTCTTTACGACTTTTTTTTTACTGTTTTAATGGCCTTTAATAGAACCATTGTTTTATTAAAGAAGAAATAAAAAATGAAGGGGGGGGGAATGTTCCAGTCAGTTGAACTGCACAATTTCCCTATCATTCCATGAACTGTCTCTCCATTTTAGTCCTAGGCTGTGTGATCCTTGTTTCCAAACAGCATCGGTGTCCTTGCTGCAGCAGGCTAACCCCATCAACTGCAGGGTAACAGGATATTGCATTACTGGCACTGAATGCAATGTTCTCTCTATGGGCAATTCTGCATCTAGCATTCACTCCACATTTTCTCAACTGGGAGGAAAAAGTGCAGCTCAAAACCACATTCAAATACCTGCAAAGTCACCCCTGAATGGCTATAAAATGGCCATAAATCTATGCAGAATGTACAATACAGTCCGATGATCAAAGAAAAGTGGCATGGAGTGTGGAAGCTACCATGAAACCAGATAATCAAAGGAAGTGAGACCAGCATGCAGTACAAAGAGGAATTTCTGTTCCAGTGTGGGTTTCGTAAAACAATGGAGGGAAAAGCCAATGCAGAATCAACCCCTGATGGAGAACTGTGAGTTTTTTTAATCTCCTTGGCAAGCAGTAAGGGTTTAAACATGTGACTTGTCCCTTTAAAAAGGCTGTTAATGGCAGCTTTAACCAGCTTTTCTGGATTTAATCGATATTTTCTGGAAGTATTTTTTCTATGCATCAGGTTTTATAAACAGTGCAAAAAGAGAAAAGAGGCACTCTCTTTTAAACTTACACCCTCAGACCCAGTGTGGGAATACTGAATAGTAATGTGGAAATGGTGTGTCATTGTGAGGAAATAAGGTTCACGTTATTTGGTAAGATCTGAACTGGATTGTTTCTTAGTTGCTTCACAAACAGGAAGTTCAGGATACTAAACTCTGAATGGCCATAAAATCCATTGGAAAGTCTTCTGTCTTGGCAGAATTTGTCACTTAACAGAAAAATGGCTCTCAAAGGAGCACCTCTCTGTGCTCAGATGTTTAATTTGGAAATCACACTGGCCTCCTTCAGACACAACAGGATGTTGAGCAAGCCATTATAATTCTATTGTAACTGTTGAGGCTACTTAAGCCAAAAGGTGATGAAAACTTCCTGCAAAAAGAGTGCTCAGTAGAGAATTCTAAATTAAATAGTTTTGCCTGGTTGTTAGAAAGTTTTGCCTGGTTGTTGGAAAGTAGGGCTTTTAAAGGGTCTCCCTATTCATAAAGAAATACAGAAATGTTTGCAGTTTGTAATCTAAGGCAAAAATAATGTTTCTAGGCAGACATCTGCCACCAGAAAAGCAGATGAGAGTTATTTGTATCCAGAATTGTAAAGGAACATAAAAATTGAATGACTATTCCCCTCAAAGTGAGGAGAAGGTAGTAATCTTCTGTTAGCATCTATGTCCATAAAGGTAGCCGAGGCATCTAGGCCTTTGGGTAAGCATTCAGCCCTCAATATAAGCAGTTCTTTTAGCATGTAGTAATTAATGTAAATAATGTGAAACAGAAAATTAGGACACTCACACTCTTGGTTAAAATGCTCTACAAAGATCAAAGCAACCATCTGTATATCTATGTGGAATGGAATTATATAAAGGATAAACTAGAAGAATACTGTCAGTGGGAGATGGGGGAGAATAGTGGGAAATTCATTACCTGTGACTTCTCTACAGATGCTGTGTGTTTGTCACACATTGGGCTGATTTCCATTCCTCTCTCCCGTTCTTTGTCTCCCTGCTGGAAAAATTCCTCCATGATCCTGTCTGTCCACTGCCGATAGAGTTCAAGGGACTTTGTGGGATTACTCAAGTCAGCACAATGAACCATATTTCGGAGAACCTGTCATTGCAAAAGCTCTGTTAATTTGAAAGCTCGCATAATCAGGCAGAATAGAACAACATTTCATTCTGTGCTTACTGGTATGTTCAGTACAATTTCACATTAAAACGAAGAACATTTTGATCACAAAAATACACTTTTTTTGAATATGTTATGAGAAAGTAACTTCATTCAAGTACATTTTTACTCAGTCATGATTCAGACTATTTGGTAAGATCTGCTGTAGACCAGAGAGGTCAATTGATGTCATTGTGGATTTACAGAATGGAAAAGCAATATGCCTAGTCTGTGGAAATTACACAGGATCTCTCCTGAATACAGATGTTTCCTTCCATTCACTTACAAATGTGTTTATAAACACCGTTTCACTCATCTTAAGGTTTCTCCCAGAACATTCACAATGTGCAGTAGATGTGACTATATGTCTATGATCCCTTAGCCAAATTTAGAAAAAATGGTGGAGCTCTCTAAAAGCTGATCAAGTGCATGCAAAGCTGGGAAAACCAATTGGCTGCCGTCTCCAAGCAGGATTGGGAAAGCAGGATGTTGGACAGAAGCTACAAAGTTGATTTGCAAGAAGACACCTTTAAACTTCTTGATGGATGCCTGTTCAAATTCCCCTGAAGCCTTTTTTATCATTATCCCAGCACATGCCCTGTGATAACAGTGAAAGGATGTAATTTGAATTGGGCTGGAGGCAGGTTGTAGCACAATTTTTCTGCCAGTGGTGCTATATAGCTCTTTTACTACTATAGTCCATACAATAGGAAATA